ATATTTGAAACCGTACAAGAAGGACGCAGATTCCCCACCTCTGGATTAGGCGAATATATTTTCTAAAGTGGCGTGAAACTGAATAAAATTTATCAGCGGTTCTACGATAACCGAGTTCATGTATTTTTGAACGACGTGTACCAACCGTGTGACCATCCCGACGTTATTCGCGAGTCGTTAATTTTTTAGCGAATCCGAAAACACGCGAACGAGGTCAAAATTAAAGCTCCGAGGACTATTTTTATCCGGAAACTTTTCAAATATTCCTCACGTGTTACTCTTTTCCCGTTGTCCGCTCTATAATCACAGCATTTCATTTGGCAGCCGGTCATTTGGGATTCAAAGTCAATAATTTTTCTGTGAAAAAATGTTTCACGCGATAAGAAGAATAAAAATTGTATTTCTATCGTTTAATACGTTTGAGATTATTAGATTATTTAATCGTTTAGGGGCGTGTATAAAACTGATTGGCGTCTCATATGCGGCGATCTAATAAAAGGGTTCGTGACGCGAACGAGTGGAAGCGATAAGAAATTTTTTCGCGTTTTTCTCAGCCGTCGGTTTGCTCTCTTTATTGTTCACCGGCTAACATCACGGGTCCTAGCGTTAATGGGAATTCGTGATTTTGAGCTCGATGCGGCTTCTGAATGGAGGGTTGGAAGTACAGAGAGAAACCTTCTCTCCTCTCGCTGCACCCAGCCGGAGGTGCAATTAACGTCGACGGCCACCAAACGAGATTTATTAGCTCTTCTGGTATAATTGCTTCCAAGAAAGTCGGCGAATGCCAATGTTTTCTCTCTCTCTCTCTCTCTCTCTTCATCTCTCTCTCTCCCTCTATCTGTCTCGCTTCCTTTTTTTTCTGCGCAATTACGTCTAACGAAAGCAATTATCGAGTTTCGTTAGCGTCGACGCGCAAACGCCTCGCGAGCTTGTGCCGTTTCCCGATGCGATTGATTGGCAATAAAAATATCTACGTTCGCCCGGATACGGTGAATCCACAGAAATAAATCCGTGCGCACGTATGTGTGACCTCTCGAAACGAAGAGTTAAAGATAACAAAGTGTGCGCAGTTTTAGTAATTAAAGAATTTTCTGACATATACTTTCTTCATAAATTTAATGACATAAGAATGAGTTGCACTCAATATCGAGTTTGCATATTTTTTTTCAAGCAATTATTTAAACACGAATTTTATTGAGAGTATTCGTAACTCATGGCATGATTATGTTAGAGGAATGAAAAGTACCTGAAGAATGCCGCGAATCTGTCCGGTCTTGGTCTCGACGATTCGTGAAGCGTAGCGAATCTGGGTGGCGGCCCGCGATGCCTCGCGACCGATCAGCGCTAGAACGATAATAAGCGCGAGACAGGTGCTCGATCTGCTCAAGGACCTCGTGGCCAGCGGCCTCTTCCTGGCCGCCGGCTGGCATAGCAAGGGCATGACAGCATTTGCTGGCGGCCACTCGAAGCGACGCCAGCAGCATAACCGTGGAACGAGACTTCAGCCACGGCCTCGAAGGTCTGCCGAGGGCTCGCCTATTCAACAAAGTAAAACTCAATTAGGAAACAAATTAATAAAAATAT